CTTTTCTCTTCTGCCACTTAATCTGCTTTGAGTAGTTCCCATTTCCCCATGAGTGAAATCTCCCAGGAGCGGTATCCCTATATTGAAGGATGGAGTACTGGAAATTTCCACATTCTTTGAAAATGTATAGGGGGAGCAACTCTTGCACACTTTTTGCAAGTTTGGCAAAACTTACTCTTGCAAAATCCTTTTTTATTTGTACTTAGAATTCTGACATATATCCAGGAGTTGAGAGAACAAAAGTGTCTGAGGGGGTGAACAGAGCCTGATTAAAAAAAAAAAAAAGTGGTTCCAAAATTGGTTCCAGACATTTACAGGATCCTCTCCATTGGACACCAAGAAGGGCTTTATAAAGTTTTATTTTATTAATGTATGTATTAAAGTCCAATTGAATGTTGAATGCCTTATTTTGATTATTCAATCCAACCATGATGTTAAGGCCCAGTTGTATTTTCCTGGGCCCACCTCAGCCAAGTTTTTCCACTTACTGTATACACATGGACTAGATTATTTCCAATCACTGACGGGTTATAATTATTGCAGAAATATGAACTAGTCTTTTAAATATAACAGCCTGCTTGGCCCCTGCTTCTATCCATCATTCTCTTTCTCTCTGTCTGATTTATTAAAGATCAATGATTTAAACACGGCTTCATAAGTCATAGAGTTCTGGCTTGGTCAAAGACAACTCAGTACTATTAATTTATTTCAAACATGTGTCATATTTTGGACACATTATGATGCATCTATCGGAAAGATGACAGTGCTAGGCAAGGTGGATAGAAGATGAAGAAGCAGCTGGCAGCATTTGAGGCCGATAGATGGAGAACTGGATGCCCCAGAAATGAAATTACAAGAATTGCATAATGCAGCAAGAGACAGGACTGTTTGGGGACCACAGAGTCACCAGGAATCAGTTGACTCAACTGAGCATAACAATATTGAAAATTCTCTATTAAAAATTCTCACTGCTGATATTTTACAGGTGAAAATATAGAGATTGAAGAAATTTATTTATTTATTTTTCACATTTCTGAATTGCCCAGCTTCCTCAAAGTATTTGTACTAAATTGCAATTAGTACAAATATAGAAATGGATGGAACCTTAATATTTCCACTTGCAATTTTGTTCCACTTGTTAAATGAATGTGAGTCTCAATGCACATTAAAGAGAAGCAAAGCTGGCCACCATCTTAACTGTTGTGATCCTCCTCTCCATTGGGATGCTGACCAATGGAGCCAAGCAGCACATATACAGTTCCTCCGTACTATGAGATAAGTATCTATGGATAGTAATGTCCTCATAAATACCTCTTGTATCTGATATCTGAAAAGCATATGTCCTATTCTGCTTCCAACTACTAGCTGGGTTCTTAGGTCCCTTCCAAACCTACCTTCTTCCTGCATGTTTCAATAAGAAATATAAAGTTGTTCCTCTAGAAAAGACACAGATAAGAACAAGAATTTATTTGAACATTTCAGATGGATTCAGGGTATGAACAAGTCCTGTGCTTATATGATGGAATATTAAGCTCTGGGGAAACCTCTCCATAGCATCTGAAGGTGGGCACAAGAAGCAATGGGTGGGAAGCTTATCAGTGGGAGATCTAGCCTGAAAATAAGGAAGAATGTTGTGAGAATGAGAAGAACTTGCCTCTCAGAATTGTGGGTGCTCCATCATTGGAGGTTTTCAAGAAAATATTGGACAACCATGACATAAGGATTCCTGCCTTGGGCATAGGGGATTGGACTAGAACAGGGGTCCCCAACCCCTGGTCCATGGACCAGCACCGGGCCCTGGCATGTCAGCAACTGGTCCACACAAACAAGCAAAGCCCCATCCGTGAGATGCAGGCAGCACACAAAACTGCACCCTCTCCAGTCCACAGAAAAACCTCTCTCCACAGAACCAGTCTCTGGTGCCCAAAAGGTTCGGGACCTCTGGACTAGAAGACCTCCCAAGTCTCTTTCAGCCCTATGAGTCTATGCTTCTATGAAAGCATTTCAGGTTTCCATTAACTTCACTTCATTTGGTAAAAAAGGGCAATATCATGTTTTATTTACTCTATGGATAATACTATCTTCCAGGTGAACATCTCTCTTTCATATTTTATGGAGTCCTGTGTTTTTTTTTCACACTGTGGTTGCAAAAAGGTCATTGTTGACAAGTGGCTGCTAGGGAGATGGGGGAAAAAAAAAACATGATTTCTTCGTGTTCCCAAAGTAGCTTTTATGGTGTCAAATGCCTTTTCATCCCCCAGATCTGACCTGTGCTTTTTACTCTGCCACGCTTGTGAGTGGTGATAAAAAGAGACCCTGAAGATAGCAAGAAACACAGATTGCCTTTCTCACACCAGATGCAGCCAAGTAACAAGGATCTGAACTGTGTTTGCTTCTGAAATAGCACCCTGTCATTCACTGCAATTTTCTTTTTAATTAAACGCTGCCACAATGCCCCTCGCTGGTCAAAGTATATTGGAAAATTTATGCTGCTGTATATGGGTAGTCCCAACTTGCTTCACAATGCCATGAGGTTAATTGTTTAAGTAATGTATCTTTCTTACAACATACTGTATTTTTTCTGCCCAGCTGCAAGGTATTTCAGTGTTTACTGAAATGAACCTAGTGCAGATACTCAGAAAAAAAAAAGAGTTTGGGAAATAACAGAAATTGGGGGGGGGGAATTATTGTAATGAGGTGACATTGAGGATCTCACTGTCCTTGGATTGTTCATAAGCTTTGGAAAAATACATTAAATGGCTCAATCCCATGGTCATAAATTATAAGCCGAGGTGGCGCAGCAGTTAGAGTGCAGTACTGCAGGCCACTTTAGCTGACTGTGTTCAGCAGGTCAGTGGTTCAAATCTCACCGGCTCAAGGTTGACTCAGCCTTCCATCCTTCCGAGGTAGGTAAAATGAGGACCCAGATTGTTGGGGGCAATGTAAATATATATATATATATACATTGCTTACTGGTGTACACCGCTTAGAGAGTGCTTGCACTTAAAGCGGTATATAAGTGTCATAAATAAAATAAATAAATAAAATAAAAGTAAAGGTAAGGGTTTCCTCTGTCCAATGGAGTCTAAGAGGCAGTGCTCATCTCTGTTTCTCAGCTGAGGGAGCCAGCATTTTCTGAAGACACTTCCGTGGCCATGTGGCCAGTATGACTATATGCCAAGGTGCATGGAACACTGCTACCTTCCCACCAAAATGGTACCTATTTATCTACTTGCATTTGCATACTTTTGAACTGCTAGGTGGGCAGGAGCTGGGGCAAGTAACAGGAGCTCACCCCGTTGCATGGTGCTCGGGCCCTGACCCCAGGCGGTCAGCTTTCCAGCTGACAAGCTCAGCATCTTTAACCGCTGAGCTATCTCACACACACACCTCTACTGTGGTCATACACTTGATAATTTTAATTTCATAGAAGAAACTTTATGCATCCAGTCTATTCTTTAATGAGCAAATGGCAGGAACAGCTGAAGGAAAGACTTCAACTTTGTTGCCTTGGGACCACTACTTCAGTCCAGCTGGCTTCTTTTCCATGGTTACAATGCTATTTCACTATCAAATAAAGGGCTAGGAGATTTTTCTCGAGCGGTGTACAATCCTGATTCCTTTATCCGTGAATGGAAGGAGTCTTGTTGGCATAGGCTGTAAAAAGCACAAAGAGCCAATGTAAGTGTAAATAAGATAAGAAATAAAATATGAGCATGAAGGAAGGAAAACGGTAATTAATTCATTGGTGTCTGCAAGGGAAATGAGGGTGCAAACAAGGAAAAATATTCAACAGTGTCATCATACAAAGGCCACAACTTCTACCAGACACCAGCATTTAATTTATGGCATTGCCATGTCCATCCTTGTGGCTTGCTGCAGATGCCACTAAAATGGATACCCTCTTAGTTACAATACAATTATATAATGGTTACATCCGTACTGCTATTGTATTTTTGGATTATACTTGCATTTTTTAAAAACTTATATTGTACTGACCTTGGAACATAATAAAAAAGGATTAAAGAAGGAACTCTGGAAACTTCCTAGAAATCATAGACACATGAATGAAAGCGAGTTAAACACAGATCATAACAGAAAATAAATGATGCCCATTTACAATCTCATAGATGGATATAATAGAACTGACAGTCAGGTATTTCTGACTACAGGAAAAAAAAATAGGTATAGTATTTTTCCTAGCAACAGAAGTAAGTGATTAGCCATTGTCTTCATCTACGATATGTTCTGACTAGCTTACAGTTTTGGGATTTCCTCATGCTCTTCATTCTGAGCACTAATCAAATCTGAACCTAAATTAGCTTCTTCAAAAATCAGCCAAGGTCATCTAGGGATGCCCATTTGTCCCATAAAACTGAGACTGAATGCAGGAAGAAACAGCACATGATTTCATTACCATAGAATATGACATTCTTCGAAAGCAAATTCAAAATAATATTAATTTGCATCCAATGCATAGAAATGAGTATGTGTGACCAGGGCTCATTTACATTGTGAAATAGATTGGATGTCAGCATGAAATGTGGAGAATGGTCTAAAAACAAAATAATAAAGCTTCTGAAACCTTTAAAAACATGTTTCTTTTCTTCAAATATTCAGAATTTGACAGTGTTCTCATGCAATGTTCTCCCATTCTATTTGAACTTCCATATAGAATGGATATTCTCTGCTATTGAACTGTGCTGTGACAAAGGATCATAGTTAACTGACAATACAGAGATTTAGCTCTGGAAAGCTCTGTTAAGAATGCCATATAGACGATTTCTTCCCTCCCTCCATCTCCCCCCAAATTCACAATGTAGATGCTCTATTATTCCAATTTTTAGAATTCTAGAAATGTCACAATCAAATGCCCAGATTGGAATGTCACATACATAGTTGTGGCACATGGGGACCCATATGGAGTTTTATAATGAGATATATTTCCAATTCTTTCACAATTAGGAAGTGTTAAGTTTATGTCTTTATTCACCTTGCAGGTATTTCTGAAAAGTGACCGTGTCGCCAGAATGGTTCAAAGTGGTGGGTTCTCAGCTAATGACTCTCGAGAAGTCTTCAAGAAACATATCGAAAAGAGGGTCCGTAGCCTCCCTGAGATTGATGGTCTCAGTAAGGAGACAGTCCTGAGTTCCTGGATGGCAAAATTTGATGCAATATATCGGGGGGAAGAAGACCCACGCAAAGCTCAAGCCAGAATGACAGCAAGTGCTGCTTCAGAGCTGATTCTCAGCAAGGAGCAGCTGTATGAGATGTTCCAGAACATCTTGGGAATCAAGAAATTTGAACATCAGCTCCTGTACAATGCATGTCAGGTAAGACTGCTTATTGTCCAGGGAACCATCTACTGTGAAATTGTGGACACAATAGAATATCTATTCCTGATAGGGCATTAGTCTGAAGCATATGATGGAGATGAACAAGCTTTGCCTCTGTTCTTTGCTATTCCTTCTGTTTCTGCTCTTTCTGTTATGAGGAACACAGAAAGGTATGCTTGACATGACATCTTATATTAGCCTTTGGGTATAGGATGGGATATTCAAAAGGCTAGCAGACTTTGAGGTATGAGTGATTCCACCAGACTCTACCAGGATGGGATGAAGTAGGGTGCTTGTGTTCTGATTAGGATTTTATTGAATGAACATTTTGAATGATATCCAGAGTATTGTCAATCTTATTGACAATTCCAATATTCATGGCAGAACAGTCCTTGGAGTCTTAGCTTTTGGAGTCAGACTAGTCACATAAAGCCATGCATAATGACACAGGCAGATGGAAGACATCCTAGCTTGGTTTGGTTGAAAACCTAGACAATTTGCCTCTTGTCTTTTAACAAATGAAATAGGGATGTGGTACTCTTCCATGTATACTTTATAAATTAGCAATATGGAGAAAGAATGCTCTGAAGGATATAACTTGCATCTGTTGATTATTCAATTTTCTACCCTACTTATGTATGGGTGTATTATGCAGGATGTTATTGGTGCTGGGAGCTTGATTGTGAGGTCCTCACTATAGCAGAATAGAATGGCTGAATAAAATATTACAAGAGAACCTCTTTTCTTCATCCTTTACTTAACAACAGTTGGCGAAGAATTGATGATATAGAGACGTTGGGTTGGAGTCTTATATAGAGTCTTTTAGATGTCTTCAGCAAAATTAAGCCTTGGAATTAAGTCTTGTAAAGTGGTAGAATCTTAGGCTAACTGGTAACCAGTCTTCCTCCATCTGAAAAAACTTTGAACCTCAAGGCCAAGACCAATGACCAGAGGCTTTAGGAAATTGTGTGCTACAAAAAAGCTAGGGAGTTGTCACAGCTTATAAAAAGTACCTGTTACATGTGTTGGTTCAAATCTCAATTAGATGACTTTGAACATTTAATGGTACTGATAATGACATAGCAGAGACCCGAAGGCTCTGTGGGTCATAGAAACAAGAGAGCTGCCAGACAGTTTTGGAGACATCAGAGGAGATTTGGAGGAAGACAAGGGGACTATAAAAGTGTTTTACAAATGCTTGACAATGCTTACAAGGGATTCATGACATTCATCAAGGTGAAAAAGGACAGTGCATCCTCAGATAAAGTTGCATCTGAGGGAGGATGCAATAGAAGGAGAAAGTTTCTTGATGTCAACTCTAAGAAGTTTTCAAGAAAATGTTAACAGAATATTAAAGAACAGAAGAAAAAAACGAGAGGGGAAAGTTAAAGAATTCCGATGAAAGGGAAACACAGTCAGCTGAGTTTGATTAATTCAAAGTTATAAACTAAGTTCTGATCTGTATCTGGTCATATGGCATTCTGGAGCTGAAATATATGTATTCTGTATTGTGTTCCTTTATGCATACTACAAGAAGGATTGCTGGTAATTGAAAACTAGATTTCTCATTTAAGTGCAATCAAATCTATTTCTAGAATTTTTACCCAAGGTTCCTCCCACTCTTTTGGCTGAACAAGTTAATTTGTTTTGTTTTGTCTTTCCTGAACTATATGTTAGCCTTATCTGATTTATTTTGTTTTTGCAGTCTAGAGATCATTACCTGTAGTTATCTCATGCAAATTTTTGAGGCATATGCTATATTTTTAGTAAATTCTTTTCTGTTGCTGGAAGGAGTGTTTTCCAGAGGTACAAATATTGAGAATGCATGAAGGTATGAATGAATGAATGAATGAATGAATGAATGAGTAATATATGAATGAATATTCTGGAGTTGATGCATTTAACGCTTGAACCTTTGGAGCCAAGTTTGAAATTGACTGGCTCATCCTAAACTAGAGGGGTTACCATAGTTACAGATTAATAAAACTGATGTTTTCATTTTGTATATCTCAGCTTTTCCCTGAATCTCTGCACCTGTTCAAAGTTGCAGAGATCTTGCTCAGATAATCTAGTTTTAGGAGAATGATCATAGTATCTGCAGGACTTGACCAAACAGTCTTTCAAAATAGTGACTTATTGGCACTGTCTGTAACTTTTATTTTATAATGCATTCTAATTGAAGATATTGAGAGATATTTCTTAAGGGGCAAGAGAATACTAGATTAAAAATAATGAAAACAATTTTACAAGCATCACAGAAATGCAGGTTAAAATAAGTTCTTTCAGGAGCTGCAAGGTGAATGTGATCATTAGTTGGTTAAAGCATCAACAATCAATAATGCGATCACCTCTGGTGACATTCAAAGATTCCTTAACATTTACACTGGGTCAGACAGCAAGGTATGATTAAGTAGTAATAGTAAGACAGATGGAGGATAAATGAAGATCTTGGAGAATCATATGCTAGGCTGGATCAAGAAATTTATCTTTAGTCATTTAGATCAGAGTTGACTTTGCAGGATCTGTTTTGTATATCATAAGCATCCCAGGTAAGTTATGCCACTCTGATTACATGCTAAGCTTTCATTATTTCACTAGTATAACATGAGGAGTGGATAGAGAGAGAGAGATGTGTGTGATATAGGGTCTCCTGCAAGGGGGTTGGACTAGAAAACCTCCAATGCCCCTTCCAATTCTGTAATTCTATGTGTGTGCACATGAAACAATAGGAAGCCAGAAATCCTGGACAATCTAGAGCAAATCACCCATAGAATTAGCAAAAGGTTCACATCTATTTTCTGCTTCACCTTTACCTGAAGAGTTTTTGAGAACTCTTCAGAATGAATGGGTTTTATAATGTACAATATGTTGTTTGACCTTTGAAGGCTGGCTATCTGGCAAAAGAAATGAATGTGCAATAGAAGAAGAACGCAATAATAACAAAAAAGCAAGTCAAACTCCTCTTCTTCACTCCACCATGATAATTACTTCTTGTGCTGAGACCTTTCATCACTTTCATAAGCTAATAGTTGATTTCTGTGGAATCTGTCTTTAGTCATTCCATTTTCATTATTTTTATGGGACTGATTGTTCTGCCATTACCTCTTTTATAGCTCTGCTGTTGCTATTACAGTGTTACTGCTGGAATTACTTGTTTAGCACACACAGTTTCCAATTGACATTTAGTAGAAAAGTTGATCTGCAAATTGTCTTGAGATAAATAGCGATGACAGGTTAGGGTCTATGGCATCAGTTGAAGCAGCACCTTTTCTATCACCCTTGCAATTAAATTCAGAACACTTTTAAAATATAAGAACTCCTAAGTCATCCTTGACACCTGATAAGTACATGGATACAATCACATTTTGTAAACAATACAGAAGTAGGTGCTGTAACAAGAATTAAGTGGAATGGCTTGCCATCAGAAGTTGTGGGTGCTCCATCCTGGAGGTTTTTGTCTGAAATGGTATAGGTTCTCCTGCTTGAGCAAGGAGTTGCACTGTAAGATCTGCAAGGTCCCTTCCAGCTCTGTGATGTGCTATGGCCATCCGTCTTTTGTTTGTATGTGGTTCCAAGTCAGTCTTGTAGATAAGTCCTTGCAGTTTTCTTGGCAAGATTTCAGAAGTGATTTATTTTGCCTTCCTCCTGGGACTAAGAGAGCACGATTGGCCCAAAGTCATTCAGCTGGTTTTGAAGACAAGACTAGAATTCATAGTCTCTTGGTACCTAGCTTGGTGCCTTTAACCATTACACCAAACTGGTTCTCCATGGTCAGCTGCTAGTTACTAAATATTATTATCATAGTAATAGCCAGCTGGAATCTACATATCTGTGTCTTTATAGGCGTTTGGCAATTTAGGCTGTCAGTTCTGGATGCTTTATGTACAGTGCATATAGAGCATGCAGTTGAGGAAGGCTGGTCTATAAAGATTGAGATGTAACATTCTTTGAGTTTGTCCTCTGAATGCATTTCTTTTTAGAGCAATTTCAGAAATTTTGTGGTTCTCAGATTTACATGTTCCAGGAAAAAAAATTATTTTTATTTCATGACTAGATCAATTTTCTTACATTTTTTCATCTTTCTCCTTCTCCAAATCAAAAATGAAAATTAAAAGCATCCCATTATTTAAAAAAGATATAGATATATAAAAGATGTAAAAAGAAGATATTAACCAGGAATTACTCTGGTTAATAACTTAGTGACCCATCTTAGGAAAAAAATCCAAGAAATGAAAAGTCAGATGACAAATTTATTTATTTATATTCAATCTTTATTATTTTTACAAATAACTCATAGTGGTGAACATATCCAACACACCTTCCTCCTTTAGGAATATTTCTTATTTTCAAAACAGCAGTTTCCTATTCATTTTAATTCCTGTTAGTTCTCTCCATTTCTACCTTTTCAATTCCTCCTATTTTGTTGTATGTCAATCTGGGATTTTGTTTTAAAAGGTCTGTGTAAATATTTGCATCGATTTCACGTTTATTTTTCCTAACAAATCTCTTATTTATATGGATTTGTAGATATATTTTAAAAAGTGAACAAACAGGAGCCACATTCTAAAAAGTGAGTAGGGTCACAAGAAAACAAGATTTGATTTAATACTGGTATTAATTTACTTTAACTACTTACATGAATAATTGCTCCCAATGTATTTTTCCTCCCATCACATTAAAAACTAAGTCAATTAGTTTTTATAGGGCTCAAGGGGCTGAATGCACCACTGCTTCCTGTAGGGAACACAGCATCCTTAAGGTAACATCAGTGAATAATTTTGTTTATCAGGAGAATGGAGTATTTACAGTGAGCACTTTAGTTTTGTGACTCAAACACTGGGGATGAGAAGCATTTACTGCCTCCCTTTGAATTGGAATAGATTTTTAAAAATAGTAAAAATAAAGTAACCAGGTATAGCTCATGGGTCCAGGAGAAGGGCCTTCTCTGCTGTGGCTCCTGCTCTTTGGAACATCTTATCCCCTGAACTGAGATTGGG